AATTTTATATGACCCACCTCCTGATTGTTGGGAGATTCTTTCTCTTTTGAAGTATGCAATGTTGTCGAGCTCATCATTTTACACCCTTGTAATGTGTTAACCAGCTCACCAATGGAACAGTTTGCTACGAAAGTTGCCAGTCTTGCTCAGGAGCTGGCCGAAATTTTGGCAGAGAAACTGGGTCACAAGTCGACTTTTTTCCAGGAAAATTGTTTGCCCAGTACCTGCTACCTCCGACTCAACAGATACCCGCCATGCCCAATTGCTTTAGAAATGTTTGGTCTCATGCCACACACTGATAGCGACTTCCTCACCATATTGCACCAAGATCAGGTCGGAGGATTGCGGTTAGTGAAAGATGGGAAATGGATTGCTGTCAAACCTAACCCCGAAGCTTTAATCATCAACATTGGAGATTTATTCCAGGTAATTAACACATAGCAATAGCATCTTCTTTACCAGTAGGATTCCGATTACTGATTCCTCATGTTTAGCTACTGACTTGAATACTGATTTTGCAGGCATGGAGCAATCTTTTTTACAAGAGTGTGCAACATTGTGTCGTCACGAACCCATCAAAAGAAAGGTTTTCCGCTGCATATTTCCTTTGCCCATCGCACGAGACTGTCATAGAGAGTTGCAGCAAGCCTTCGGTTTACAGGAAGTTTAGCTTTACGGAATATAGACAGCAAGTGCAGGAGGATGTTCAAAAATATGGGTACAAAGTAGGACTCCCCAGGTTTCTAGTATAAATATATATATCTATTCACCAAGTAAATATTTGATTGCATATCTCTTCTAGCTAGCTTAGGCCAAATTTGTATAAAATTTGTGGCTCGATCTTCCCCCCACCACCACCCCAAAAAAATGTTGTATAAGTTTTTGTTTGATTAGAAAATTGAATGCAAATTGTGATGGAATTGGAAACAGAGATATATCAAGTTATACACACGATCATTAGCCAAACTTGAAGAGCAGAAACAAAATTTTCAATGCCCCAAACAATGGATTCTATTTTCTTTTTGGATTGTGAAGAAGGGAAACATAATCATGTTCTTAGAATTAGATTTCACCCTTGAATCTTTATTTACGTACATTAGAGTCAATTTGGGAATTCAAAAGATCCCATTTGGCATTGAATTCCAATTCACATTTGGTTGCAATAACAATTCCAAAATGTGAAATAATCTAATATGGCAGCCAAAGGTTCTGACCCTGGAACTTGCTTCCTTGGCAAATTTATTCTAATTTTGTGATTAGCGTGATTCTTTATTTTGTTTTTTTGCAAAATTTTTTATACATTTAACCACCATGATTTATTTCTATTTTAATTGTATTATTGTCATTATTAATATAAGATTTTAAATTTGTGCATTAAAATATAATTTCAGGGCCCCAAAAGCCCAAATGATATTGAGAGCAAGCCCATCCCATTTAACAAAGGCTGCCGCAGGCCAAAACTTTCTTCTTTGGGCTTTTCCAACTGTCTCCAGCCCAATTACCTTGTACCTCAAAATATCCCGACAAATAAATAAAAATAAAATAATATTTGAACTAAAAACAAAGATGCTGGCTTGTTCCACCTTCAACCTCCGCGCCACAGCAACCTCGGCCAATCCCGATTTTGCCGAGCCAGAACCCGAGCCAAAGGTTCGGAAGTTGAAGGCTAGCCCACAGCTCAACAGATGGTACCGGGCACGAGCCTTAAGGTCGGGCCACAAGCTGGAACGATCGAGCCGACGGGCAGGGGCGCTGGAGTTGAACCGCTCAGTTCAAAGAACAAGGGAGAGCCCATCTTCGGAATCCACTTCGACGGTAAGTGATGGCGATCGTGACGTAGAGTTTACGCCGGGGAAGCCGATTTATATGGTGTCTGATGGAACTGGATGGACGGTGGAGCATTCCGTTAACGCGGCTCTGGGGCAGTTCGAGCATTGCTTGGTGGACCGTGTGTGCCCCGTAAATACCCATCTGTTCTCCGGGGTATGTTTTTCTTTGCTGTTAGTTTCATATTTAACAGATTTTGTTTCAGTGATAATGTTTTTGCATCCAAATGCGGTTTAAAAGCAAGAACAACCAAATAAAGGTTGAACTTTTGAATGTTTGACAAACTTAAGGTTGGGGATATGGTAAGAAAAAGTAGTGTCTTTTAGATTAATTCTATGTTTTGCAATGTTCAGATTGATGATGTTGAGACATTGATGGAGATTATAAAGCAGGCAGCCAGGGAAGGTGCAATGCTTGTCTATACTTTAGCTGATCCTTCCATGGCAGAGTCTGCTAAGCAAGCTTGCAAATTGTGGGGTATACCGTCTACGGATGTATTGGGTCCAATTACAGAGTCAATTGCCGCTCATTTGGGTGTCTCGCCTTCTGGTCTTCCCCGGGGAGCTCCTGGGAGACACTTCGCTCTTTCTGATGAATACTTTCGACGGATTGAAGCTGTTGAATTTACAATCAAGCAAGATGACGGGGCTCTACCTCAAAACTTGTGCAAGGCTGACATTGTTCTCTCAGGTGTTTCTCGTACTGGGAAGACACCATTATCAATTTATCTAGCACAGAAAGGATATAAAGTGGCAAATGTGCCTATTGTGAAAGGAGTGGCATTGCCAAAGGGTCTTTTTGAGGTAGACCCTGAGAAGGTTTTTGGTTTGACTATTAATCCCTTGGTCTTGCAAACGATTAGAAAAGCAAGAGCTAAGAGTCTGGGCTTCAGTGAGGAAGCAAGGAGTAACTATTCAGAGATGGATTATGTGAAACAGGAGTTGGAGTTTGCTTGCAGGGTTTTTGCTCAAAATCCTGTCTGGCCAGTTATTGGTAAAGATTGTTAACCTTTCTACTCTGTTTTGTTTAGTTCTCCCCACTCTTTTCATTCTATAGCATGGAGATGTTTAGAGCCTATTTGTAAGTTAATAGGGAAAAAAATATGGTAAATATTTATATTTAAGAGTTAAAGATGTTTGACATGTTCATCTGATGATCTTTGGCTCGCCTATTGATACTTGTCCATGCAGAAGTGACAGGTAAAGCAATTGAAGAAACTGCTGCTGTTATATTGAGGCTCTACCATGACCGAAAGCATAAGTGTTTGATGCCACGAATATCAAAACGTTACTAATGAAGTAATGAGATGGCAAGTTGTTGTTTTCAGGTATGCAGGAATGAGAGAATGCTGCCTCAGAATTACAGACAATTACCTACTTTGTAGCTCAGATTGTGAATTCTGAGGAAAAAGGTGAAATAGAGCGAAGCTGTACACATTTCCACTTTCTTTCTTGAATACCAGTATTTTTATCAACCTACTAACTATTAGTGTAGTAGTGTATATTGAAGCAACACAGCCATAGAGTTATGCTTATGCCATTTTTCTGTAGACAAAATTCTTCTTTTGTATCAATTGAACATAAAGATTCTCAATAAAGTGGCAGCTATGTATTTGATACAAGTGGTTATAACGTTGGTATAATTAAGTGACTACTTAACTTCATCATCTTCAAAACTCATATATTGCTTCATGGAGGAACTTTAATACCAGAATTACTCATTGCTAGATCTAACTTGTCTTTATCATTTATTATTAATCTTTTTGTGTCTGTATTGCCCCTCTAGGCTGGGGGAGAAATCAAGGTTGTTTCTGGTTTTATCCATGATAGAAGCATGAATCCATCTTTTCTAGGTGATCCTAAATTCCTTAGCTTCAGAAATTTTCATTCAGCGATGGCAAGACTGTTGTTTGAACTTCAGTTTGCTGAAATGTCTTTATGAAGTTGGTTCCAGTCCTATTTTTCAGAAGATTACTAGTGATTTAGTGATTTTGTTGCTGAATCATAATACTCTAAGTTGTCTTATACTTTCACATGTTTCTCGTGGTCCACGCAAGACTGTTTCCATGTCAGTAAATCTAATCAAAGGACTGATTTGTGTTATACAATGTATAGCATTTAGGTAAAAGGGATCTATTCCCTATCTCGATATCTAAATATGGAAGAACCAACCCTTAAAGGGCATAACCAACGGAAGGTTCTCACCCTATCCCCGACATTGTTCCCCGACGATGTCCCCGACATTGTTCTCTGACGATGTCCCCTGGGCGAAAAGCAAAGATCTCTCGGGCAAGTGCTCTCCAAAGTGGGAAGGAGCATTCGGACTCAAGAGGCTTCTACATTTTTCAGCTCAAAGCCTTACAGATCCGATTATAGATATCTTCAAAAGAGCTGTAAGAGATTCCTGAGTAAAGAGGTGGCCTAGGGTGGCTGCATAATTCAAACATTTGATGAGCCTAAAAGAGCACTGAGAAAGGTTTAATAACATTTCAGGGGAACCATCATAGAATATTTTGTCATGCCATGTCCTACCTAAAGTATTAATTCAGAAGCAGTGTTTGTTGCTTTTAGGGGAAAACCTTAATTCATTCAAGTGCTAATTCATTGTTGATTTATGATTAATGTGTAGCCGCTATAGCATGTCAAAACAAGATAAATTAAATTCATTTGCAGCTTAGTAGGGCAGGCGAATCTACTAATTTAGAGAGAGAGAGAGACCGTGCCTAGTACCCACCTCCTTTGCTTGAAAACTTTGTCCAAAGAGATTTTTTTATCTGATAATACTGCTTGGAAGTTTGAATCTGTCCTAGAGGTGGTTGTCAACTTGTCATTTACCGCATTTTTTCTACCTAGAAAGTCCTCTTCATTCGGTAACCTCCAGTCTCTTCTATCAATTGTCAAAGGAAGTACTAATCATAATGATTTTCTCTGCAAATTCATTTTATTTTACCCCCGGAAGAGATTGTACTCTGGGATCAAGTGTGGCTTCATGGAACTTACACAATTAAACAACGTATGCTACAGCTTTTCTCGACAGTGACATTTGTGGGCTTTGTTTTCTCATGGTCATAGCTCTGCTGTTATGCAAATTGCCTGTCATCCTGTTTCTCTTTGTTGCCTCTTTTGCTCAATGTTTACTACTTACATAGCATAGAATTTGCACAGCACCATGATTACTTGAAAAACAGGAAACCAGGCATTGTATCAGGAATGATTCATCTTTTCCACTTAAAACTGAACTACGAATGTGAGTGTGTTCGGCCTATTTTTTTAACGAGCCTAATCCCGTAGCTAACCCTTTATTCCCCAAGGCCCAAGCTTTTGGCACAAAAAAGTCGGAAACTTCGAGTGCGCATGCTCATGTGTGCTAATATACAAATACTTTTAGTGCCTGTAAATCTCATAGACATTATCTTTCCTAGCTCAACTCACATGAAAGCCACAAAGAACAAAAAGCACTTGAAGTTGGATTGCCAGAACAGGAAACTGAAGAGAAGGTATGGCGTAGGAAAAAGGAAGAAGAGAGAGGTGGGCCAAAAGTAACTTTCTGATCCTCCATTGACCTGTGTGGACTGCGGAGATAAACAAAGAAAGCACAAAAAGGTAAGCATATCATGTTTTATTGATCTCTTCCATACATATATTTAATTAAAAGAAGGGCAGATTCCATCTCTTTGTCACAGTGGAGTATGTCCTTGTCCTCATCTCCAAAACTTTCTCTGAGAAGAGCCTCAAAAAGTTGATAGCTGCCATGTTTGAAGCCATTTTAATGGAAGGTTGATTAGTTTTTGCTGTCCCCCAATTTGTCTTCTTTCTTGAACTTTCTTTTTGTACTTCACTACCAGGATAATTCTCGGAAAAAATAAGACATTTCTTACAATCAACCACTCGCATCCATTTCTCTTTGTCACGCATTGAACTCCCATGTGTGTGCAATTGCAACATATTTTAATCAGCACAAAGTTGGTGAAAGTATGGTCACTGCTACTAGTCTAAAGCATTCTCTTCTCCATTCATTTTGCTAATTGACAAGGTGAAGTATATCAGCAAAATTGTTCCCATGCTCGACCTGTCAAAAGAAAAGAGAAAATTGTCACTTCAAAATATGCTCAATTCTTAACAAATTTTCAGGTCTTGGCAGGAAAGCTTGCGGAACTTACAATGTGGCAAACAAGAAGAGAATCCTCTTGGGATCAAGTTGCCATGGGGGATGAGGCCTCCTGAAACTATTTCTTCTCAAACTAAACCTGCTCTCAGCAGCAGTAGTGCTGCTGCCAGTTGTGATGGTGATCTGATGATGAACTTGTGGGTTGCTGGTGTGATCGGTGGACCCTACAACCACCGCCGTGGGCTTTTCAGGCGTGCTAGACCCTATCATACATAGTAGATGCAAATTCAATAATTCCATTCCCCAAACTTTTACCATAAAATTTTCCAACAATACATGGCAACATGCGTCCTTGAGATGATACTCTAGGAATCTGTACTTTGCACCAAACTCATTAAACGCACAGCAGTACTCAAATCCAGGTACTGCCCACTTCTTAGTTACATGACAAGGTATCTTTTCTATAGGTAAAGTACTGAACACTACCGACTATCTGCCCTGTAAAACATCTTTTTCAATGTTGGCATTGTTCTTTGTAACTATGTAGAAAGCCAGAAAAGCAGCATGTATGCCAGCACATTCTGAGGGACCAAGCCTTCCTGAGAATCTTAGTAGTAAAGTAATTGATATAATCTAATTATTCTAACAATATCAACTGTTAAAATAGTTGAAACTAAGCCTAGGTGGTGTGAGCTCATTGGCGGCTAGGGTGAAACCGGAGGTGAGGCTGGTCCAGGTTGGTGATGGAAATTAGTGTATTAAACTACTGTGTGGAAAACAGCAAATATGGCCAAATCTTAATTTATTCTCATCATTGTTTGCTAGTGTCCTGCAAATATGCAATTATGCACCAACACCTTCTCCCACCCAAGGACCAATGGTCCATGTGGGTCTAAGAAAATTGAACTACTAAAACTTGGGAAACTAGCAAAATCCTAGCAGCCAAATCATTCCAGATTTTCTTTTTTAATTTCCCGGGATAACCTTTTCCTGGGAAAAAAGTTAGAGAAAGCAATACCTTTGGGGGAGGAGGTTGCACCAAAAGAATCTCTATCATTGACAGAGGAACAAGAATTAGGATTAGTACAACTGGGAGTAATCATCTTCTTGTCGCCTCGCTGAGACCCTTTGCGGGAAAGGTTTCTCTGCAACTTTTTTGTTGTTGAATGAACAAGAGGAGGAAAACAAAGAATTATTAAGTCATGAACATTAACACCATTAAAAGAAGAACAAGATTGGAAAACCAAACGAGAAGTAGATAAGAATTCAACCATGCATGGAACAGGATTATTGAGGTGTAAGCACGTGTCATCCATACTGGAAATTATCCCCAAGAGGAGAAAGAAAGATGAACGAAAGAAAACTTACTGTAATTCTTGAATTCGGATTGATTTCTTTATTGGCTCCTCCATGGGAGAAACTTTCCATGTCAATAACAAAGCTATCGGATTTATCGGTTGTGTATTGAAACCCGTTAAGATGATCCGAGACTGATATCTTTTGTGTGGACATCTTTTCCTCTGACCCACGAGCCTCGTGGGAAGATGCCAAATCCTATCACCAAACCAGGAAACCCAACTAAACAGAGTCAGAAGAATAAACAGAGAGACCAGACAGCTTTTTAACTTGAAATTTAAGATCAAAATTTAAGGAATAAACAGAAAGAAAGCGACATATGATGATCAAAACCAATTAAACAGTTTCGAGAAAAATGGAAGAAAACAAAGCAAGGAGAAATCCCAGAAATACTATGCTTACCAACTTTGGATTTTTCGCCATGTCCATCATTTTCTCGGGAAAGTGAAGGAAAAGATAAATAGAAAAACCAATTCGATGAATAACCAAGGGAGGAGAAGTGGAGTTGGAAGTCTACACAGTGTTCACCAATTGCGTATCCAATGGGGCGACTGGGAATCAACCACTTGATTGGAAGCAAAAAGAGACAAAGAAGAAAAGAAGAAAACAAAGGCTCCCCTCCCTCCTGGGAAGTCAAAAACTTGAAGATTTCTAACACGAATAGAGTATTCTTATAAAATCGAAGGAATCTCGTGATTTACGAACAGGGCCTTGGAAAGAAGAACGAGAATCACCAAACCTTTCTTAACCCAAAGGCACAGAAGAACTTATAACAGAACACGAAAGTCTACACCCTTTTCTTGTTTCCAAAGGACCAGGACTTCAACTGATGTCTGTTGTAACTATGAACTCATGGCTTTTGTTGCAACCTCTGGAGTTCTCCGAAGTTGGGAAAAGAGATTTCGTTTCACTCTTTGTTAAAAGAACAAGAAAGACACCATAAAGAAGGGCAACGGGAATTCGGTTAAGAAGAAGAAACTGTGATCAAAGGGTGCAACGAGACGTAGAATTTGGAACTTGCAGGGGCTTTGGTTTCTCTTTGATATATTTATATGGTGAGTTTGTTCAATGAGTTGGAATTGAACCCATTGAAACGTTTACAAAATTTAAAAAATAAAAAAAATGTAAAATAATTTATTTACAATAATATTATAAAGACACCATGTGGAGTTGGGCTTATGATAACGGCCTTGACCCTAAATTTATTGCTATAAATAGAAAAACTAGTTGTACTTGGAAGCAAAACAAAGCTAAATGCCATGATATTTTGCTTTCTATGATCACATAAACTTGTTGGTATTAGCCCTTTTACTATTTTGTAGAATAAAACAAGCAATATGATGTGAAAATCAATGTTTTTGAGTAAAGCAATTCTCTTTTAAAATATAAGCATACATCGAATTTTGTTTTTGAGTTACATAAAGTGAAAGTACTAATTGATTTTCATTCGTTTACTTCATTTATTATGTGCTATAAAATCTTAATCTAAGTTTTTAAATCTTATGAAAAAGGTCCATATGATATATCTTTTTGAGTAATAGTTTTGCGACATGCGTGAAAACATTCAATCAATTTACTTGTACGTGAAAGAAAATCTAGTCAAATTGGGTAATGAATCTACTTCTAAAAGCATAATTTTTTTTTTTTGGTTTACAAATCAAATTTGATGGGCTAAAGTAAGGTTACAATGATCTCAAACTTTGAAGAATTTGGAGTTATAACTTGTTTGTTTGAGAGCATGGAGGAATTGCGTGATAAACTCAAAATTCTTTTCAGGGATTATAATTCAGAGAGTTGGATATTGATGGCTGACTGAACAAACGGTTGATGTTGGAGTGCTGCTGGCGGCGACAATGACCATAAAAAGATTATCCATTTCGATCGGCAACTAGAATTAGACGTTGATTGAAACAATAATTTTCAAGCAGCACAATCATAACTACGCTTGGAGTATGCAATCAACCATTTTTTAAATTTATCATCTGTGTTAATCATCAATACAATGAATCCCCTCAAAAAAAAAAAAATACTCAATAATATATATAAAAAAGAGAGTTAAATAATTAAAAAGTTATTGAAATTTTCTGTTTAAGTAACATATGATGTGATTATAAGACTTATTTCACATTAACTATCATGTGATTATATCAACTGTCATATTATATATGACATGAGTTAAAAAAATTTATATGAGTATAAATTAAAATATGAATATTAATTTAAATATGATAAAAGAATACGAAATTTTTTTTTCCTTATATTGGTACAAAGGAAATTGAATGCTTGCTCGTGAGTGGAGGGACAAGAGCATGCAGAAGAAACGGCAAAAATACACGTAATGCCCTAGCTGGAACTTAGAAAAAAGAAAGAGAGTCATAGACATTAAATATGGATGCATAAATGTGTTATAATTGAAAGATTTACCGAAAGAACATCTTTAACTGAAAGATATAATTAATTAATTTAAGTGGAAAAAGGTTGGTTCATAATGATCGAAAGGAGCAGCACATGTTTGTGGAGGCAATGTGTCTGGCGGTGGAGATGCTGGCTGCTGGCTGCTGGCTGCTGGCTGCTGCCTGCTGGCTCATGTATTTCCCACTATCTAATAGTTTAAGTGTATAATTACACACATGAGCATGTATTTGTAGCCTAAATAACTAAAGGATTAGCCAAAAAAACTTATAAACAGAAAAAGCATTGAACATATCAACATTAAATAATTAGCCCATAAAACAGAGGCATTAATGGTTCTTTATCACACTTCCCTTACATTGAGAATCTTCGAGCTTGATTCAAAGGGAACATGCTCCTAGGTTTCCATGAGAGAAATTAAATGGTATTCGTAACTAGTCTGGGTAATTGTAAGTTTAAGTTAATGATTTCAGAACAGTAATCTTTTATTCCCATTTGGCATCTCATTTCCGTTTGAATATCAAATAGGGCAAGAAGATTTCGGTTTACTACTTTGTGTCACTTACCATGAACATCAAACAATGGAATTTCCTTGAAAATGCATGTGAGGGAAAGGTGCATCAGATGAAAGGTAGACTCAGCCGGCCAAGCCTCAAATGGACAATACTAGAAAATTTTAAATGCAATCTTGGGCATGAAGGTATTCTTTGTCTTTGCTTGAGCCTTCAATTTTTAGGTACAAAAAAAAAAAAAGACTTTCTTACAGGGAAAGGCTAGCTCTGGAATAGAGCAGTTTCTTTTTGGGCAACAGCAGTCCAAATAATCAAAAGTTTCAGCTGCGCTCTGGCAAAGCTTTAACCAGCAAGCAGCTCTGCTCAGAGGGCACATTTAGCTATACGATAAGATCATGTGCTTCATCTTGAAACTTAATCTTTTCCCTAAAGGTACATGTACATTAAACAAACTCCTAGAAGAATTAATGGCTCAAACTTAGAATTAAAGGCTAGGTGGTTTTTGTTACGTGTGATGAAGCAGCATGTTTGCTATATGCTCAAGTCTAAATCAAGCTCGGGACCAGCCCCGTAGCCATCTACATGTTTTCTTGCATATGTTTGTCTCTCGGGAATATTAATTTATCCTGGAATTTCATGCCAACTTGTGATAAGTGATGCAATGGACACCTTTCATATTTCCATTTCCAAACAAAAGAAAGGAGGACTCTACGTTTTTCTTCTGGCACTTGGACAAAAAATCAGTATGGTCCGCACAGTTGGAACTCAAAGCAACCCAAGAAAAATAGAAAAGAAAAAGCTTAGAAAGATTATGGTTTTTAAATTATTTTCTTCTTTCATTTTCGGTCCCCTCTTTCTTGCAATCATCAGTGGCAGCGGACAAAGAAAGCCAAGACAGAAGAGAGCTTGCATAGTACAAGGGAACAAATTCGAACAAAAATTAAAGTAAGATGTCTGTCTTGCACTGTGCACCGTTAAGTTTGAGTCCACATTTTATTTAGCACAACAAAACTGGGATCATGTACACCACATAAGGGCCGATGTATTCCCTGTATCCCATATTGATCCCATTGCACCCAAGTTTTTCTTCCTTTTTAATATGGTCCCCAGCATTTTATAGCCCATCATCTCTAACTTTAATGCAATTTTAACTTCGAACTCAGATACCAAGTGTGAATAAAGGATGCTGAAGACCAAGCTAGCCAAGCTGCTCACCCATGTGGGTGGTGGTGGGGGAGAAATTTTCTATGTAAACCGATGTGTCTCAGCATTGTTTCCAAGTCAAACATGGTGGTTAATTGGGAAGCCTCCTCCACAACTAACACCACCCCATTCTCCCTGGTTTGTGTAACTGGGGTATTGGCTTATTTATTGCCACATCTAACCAACTTTGAACTTTGAGGGTGGCTTCACCTGCAATCATAGTAGATTTGCTGTGTTGTCCAAAACAATTATCACTTTTCCACAACCTTACCTTGCCCACCTCCAGGCGATTGTGAAATCATCATAACGTGACCCCAAATTCCCAGAATCAGGAATTTGTTTCTTATTTCTTCTATATTATGATATTCAAGTTAACCCCCTCAAGTTTCTTTCATGAGATTAGGATTTTTGATATACTTCTTTGCTACCTGGTCTTTTTGATACGCGTCTTATGCAATAAGATATTGAAATTTATTGTTGTGCATCTCTCCTTTGCTTTAAATTTTCTTCAAGGTTACGTGTTGCATATGGGGCGATAGCACTCGGAGATAAGGAGGGAATGATGTGGGAGGAATCATTACGGCTTCCACTTTGATTTGGTAGAGAAAGGAGAGGGGTGATCTGTTCTGTTTCGGTTGCAGTCGTTGGGTATAATAATAAAATAGTTCCAAAAGTTCAACCCCCACTTGCCCGTCCTATTCATTTTGCAATTATGTGATTGAGTCAATGTATTATTAAATCTCAAAAACATTAAAAAAAGATCGAGAGGACCGATAAAATATTCATTAGTCAAAAGGATAAGCCAGACAAATAGAGAATTTAAAACCTGGGCAGGGAGTATCTGGTGGAGTGCTTAGAAACTCTGATGTATATTTGGTTGGGGTATTTTGTGGGCCTCTAGGCATTGAGGATTCAAATTATGTAGACATTATTTCAATCCTCTCTTTCTATAAGAGCTAATTTAATTGTTGATTTTATCTTGAGATAAATATTTTAGAGCAGAGGATTGATATGGTCACACTTGTGCATATCTTGAAAAAGCCCAACTTCTTCGTAAATCATTTAGCGAAATCTACTGTGAAAAAAGCATCTATGTTTTCAGCTTGATGGTGATATGTGTGCACTGTTTTGCTTGAGTATGGTAGTCTTTATCTATGGTGGCGCTATGTCTGCTTATACTTCTTTTATGTGCAGGGGCTTGTGAGCTAAAACAAAATCTTATGTAAGAGTGCATGGCAGTCTAGGTGACTTTGGAGGCACTTTCCTCTACCCATGAGACCCCATCCATGCACTATTTTTAAATAAGTATTAATAAAATTCTTATGATTAAATGAGTTAAGAAAAGTTAAATAGAGAATTTAAATTTTATACTTGTATGTACATATGAGTTGGTACTTGTGTGTATGTGTATATGAATGAATATATTGTTAAATATATAATATTATAGACAAAAAGACAATCATAAAAATTATCTCTAATCATGATCACTATAAAATGATTTTATATGTAAAGTTTAGAATGCATAATCAAGAAACAATCATGCATATGTGGGCTATAACCACAAAAGCTAGGGTGTGCTCTGTCATAATCAAACTTATCGAGTTCAATATATTTGTGGTCTTTTTGCAATCAATTAGAGTCCGATTAGAAGGTAGATTTGTAGCCGAGATGGAAATTCTAAGATTTTACGGTTGGAATTTGGGGATGGACAGATGCATAGAATATTCATAGGTAAACAAACAATTGACTTGCAGTTGAGTATTTAACTTATTATTTAATATGTGATTTACTATTTAAAAAATAGAATTCGAATTTTTTTTTAATTATATAAAAAAAAAGAAAACAATTGGCCATCACCCATTGTTTACTCTCTTTAGTTAACAGGAACCGTATATTCCTCTCATGATTGGTGGGGAGAGTTCTAACTCAGA